CAAGCTGCAGTGTAAAACCATCTTAGTTAAACAAGCTGTAGTGTAAAACCATCTTAGTTAAACAAGCTGCAGTATAAAACCATCTTAGTTAAACAAGCTGCAGTGTAAAACCATCTTAGTTAAACAAGCTGCAGTGTAAAACCATCCTAGTTAAACAAGCTGCAATGTAAAAACCATCCTAGTTAAACAAGCTGCAGGTTCAACAATGCATGGAGTAAAATCCCAGAGTTTAACTAGTCACAGAAAACAATCACTCTAGATACAGAGATTATCTTTTCTTCTTTCTTTTTTTCTCTACTCTTGGAATGCCTCAGGGCGTCAGAGTAAAAGATCCCTGAAACGGGCCCTTCTGTTCACTTTGTAAAAGGTACATTTTGAGCGTCTCTGATAATTGGACGGTCCAAATTTTGCGTGGTCATCTTCTAACTCTGTTACTGCTATATCTGTAAGACATTGCTCTCTGTGGTGCCCTGTCTGATGCCAGTCTTGTTACATGGCCAAACCATTTGACCTGCTGTCTAGCTATAAAGTTTGGTATTTGGTTCTGTGCTGACTCTCCTCCTGATATCATCATTTCCTAAATCAATCTTTTCCTCATCACACCTAGTATAGTATGTAAAAATTTTATTTCTGTTGTGACTATTTTCCTTCTGTCTTCTGAAGTCAGTGTCCATGTTTGACATTTATAGCATAGCACTGGTAAGAATAATGTGTTGAACAGTGTTCTTTTAGTGTTCATATTCACATGCTTGCATTTCAAAATTGGTGCCATTTGGCCTAAAACTTGATTGGCTTTATTGCATCTTTGCTGGATTTGTTAATTATCTTCTGAAAAAAAATATGCTCCCCAGATATGTAAATTCATTCCTCTGCTTTAACTAGTGTTCAACAATTTTGATATTGGTCGTTCTTCCTTTTCTAGAAAATGCCATAACTTCTGTTCCTTCTAGTGGGTTAGAGAAGTTATAAAACTGATTATTCTAGAAAATATAAAGATGATTTTTTGCCTGTTCACATTAAAAATTTGTTTAAACTAATACAATAGCGTGTGATTAAAAACAATTTTCATCTTTAAAATTGATGCTACCCTATGGTGACCCGGCTTAAACTGGATAACAAGCACTGTTCTGAGAATTCCAGAGAAATCTGACTAAAAAGCTCAATAAAATTGGGAAGCAGAAAAACATGCACAAAACAACACAACATAACATTTTTGGCTGCGCAGCTTTTTCAAACATATGTTACGTTACATTGTGTTGTTTTGTGCACGTTTTTCTGCTTCCCCATTTTGTTGAGCTTTTTAGCCAAATCTCTCTGGAATTCCTTGTATTAGCTTGACTGCAGTCACCCTCATATTTTCACCAATGTTCTGGGAAGTAAAGGAGGACGGGGTGATTTCTACCACATCACTCGCTGCGTGCTGATTGGTCTTTTAACTTGAGTCTAGCAACATGTGGCCGCTGGCGTAAAAAGGGTTCCTTTGATTGATTCATCCTGATGACCTCACAACATCTAGCATGAGACTAGGGGTACAGACGGTACCTGCAGCTCTACGGTAGCTAGAGAACAAGATGCATACACATGTCATAATTGTAACAGACTCTGAAGGCATGCTGAGAAAGGTGAAGACAGGGATGCTTCGAGTAGAGTAGCAAGCTTCACTGGGAAAGTCACGGGTAGTGAGCATACTTGAGATCTTTTCTCACAGCCATGCCGGTGTAGTGGGTAATGAACAGGTAGACAGATTGGCTGGATCGTCACCACTGGACAAGGCAGATGTGGTCAAGGCCCTTTGGGAACAAGCAACAGAATCAGTAAAGAAACAAGATTATTATGGCCTGGAGAGAATGAGGCACCTGGGTGTAACCAGAGGGTCTGGCCGGCTCACTACACTCAGAGGAAAGGCAAGACAGACATATAACCAGATTGTGACTGGTACCATCAGTATTAGAACTCTACGCTGGCTGCTGAAGATGAGGACGGAGCAAGCATGGGAGTGCCCCCGAGTGCTGTGACTCAACTCAACGGGGTCCTTTACTTGATTCACCCTGAAAACCACACGCAGGAGCGATACAAGAAAACCAAACAGCTCGAGCAGCCCTACAATGCTCACTGTGGAAGTAGATATGTGGTAATTACGAAGCTAGTCTAGTGTGATGTTGACCACATCAATCACCAAGTGCAGATTGGTCTATAAAAATACAGATCTAAATACCAATACGTCTAGAGGCGGGGAAAAGGGACCTTTCTTTTTTAAGATATATAACCACCTCGCCAATTGGTCCATAAAAATACAGATCTAAATACCAATACGCCTAAATGCGTGGAAAATTGACCCTTTTTTTAAATAGATATATGACCACCTCGCCGATTGGTCCATAAAAATACAGATCTAAATCGCAATACCCCAAAGGCATGGAAAAGGGACCTTTCTATTTTTTAGATATATTATACATGGTAGGCAGGTGCTTTGATGAAAAAAAAAAATATCACGTTCAACTAGCATACCCGAAGGGAGAGCTTTAGGTTATAACTGTGACTACATTATGTGTGCCATATAAAATGCCTTAACATTGCACGCCACCAAGAGCCATGAAAAGTAACTCTGCAATGTTGATGCGATCGAAGGAGAGGGACCCAAATACTGTCCCGACTAAAGAAGAAGTTGTCTACTGGCGCGCCAATGGGTGACCTGGTTGCTGATAGTGATATATGATGATGATGATGCAGTTTCTATATCAGTGATATGGACAATACTATTTTGGCCTCCAACATGTAGAAATCTGGCAATATTTACACACCAGAAGTGCAATACAGTACACTCTCAAGGATAAATTATAGCTTGTAATTCAGCTTTTTTTTTTTTTTTGCATTCGGCCTTAGAAGAGTGGCTAGCATGTTGTGGTTTACAGCTAGGCTGTGATAACAGTGCCGTTAAACCTACTACATCTATAAAGAAATCACTTATTAAATGCCTTTAACAATAGGCTTGTTGGGAAAGGGGGAGGGGGGGGTGTCAGCGGGTCTACTCCCCCCCCCCATTAAATGAAACTAAGAACCATGGGATAGCTTGTAATGAAACTCTCTGCTTGTCATGGCTGATAAACCTCTGTGTTCATTCAAATACAATCATAACATAAAACATTACAAATTCAGTCATAATACAAGTGCAGTCATACATAAATACGATCATCATCATTATCAAGTGCCTTGCTGACTGGCGTGGGCGATCATGCTTCTCCAGAATCTGCTATCTCCTGCAGCATAACACATGCAAATACAATCACAACATATCGTTTCCGGTCATAACAATCAAATTCATTTGAAAGCCATCTTTGAGGTTCAAGTACAAACCTAAACGTTTGGTCGAATTCAAATTTTATGGGACACAAACCTGAACTAAGAACAGCTTCAAGGTTTATTTTAATGCAGACCTGAAGGTTTATTATAATACAAATCTAAAATTTGAAATACAAAATGAATGGCACGTTGAAATAAATACTTCGAGATTTAATTACAAAAAAGTTCATTTGAATACATAAGGTTTAATTAAACACAAACGTGGTTTAAATACAACATGAAGGTTCACCTGAATACAAACCTCAACGTTCAAATACAACACTTAATGTACATCAAAATACACCCCAAGATTCACATGAAGACAAACCTCAAGATTTAAACACAACTTTAAGATGCTCCACTGAATATAAACTTGAAGATTTATAAAGAAGGTTTGTTTAATAAAAAATCTGAATGATGAAATAAAAAACATAAGTGTTCATTAAAATTCAAGTTGTATTTTGTGGATTCAGCAACTAATCTAATTTTAGCGAACTGTAACTCTCATGAATGGCAAAGTTAAATCTTGTCAGCTCTCACTGTTAAGTTTTAACTCTCACAATCAGTAACAAGCGAACTCACTGCTGTTTTAGCAATCTGTCACACGAAGCGAACTATGCAATAGCAGCAGCTCGCTATTCACCTTTGAACTTATAACAGCTTTTACTTTGTTATCTTTGATCTTAAACAGCTCAGACATATAATAAGAAATAGCCGCATCTCTCAAACAGTCATCATTCAATTCACAGCATCTCCCAAACCAGTCAACTCTGAATAAATATCACCACATACAGTGAGTGAGCTCTGAAATAAAAACACATGTCACACAGTCATATCACTCCTACACATAGTCAATTTGAACTCACAGCACCTCCCACATACAGAGACAGCTCTGAACTCATAGCACCTCCCACATACAGAGACAGCTCTGAACTCATAGCACCTCCCACATACAGAGACAGCTCTGAACTCATAGCACCTCCCACATACAGAGACAGCTCTGAACTCATAGCACCTCCCACATACAGAGACAGCTCTGAACTCATAGCACCTCTCACATACAGACAACTTTGAACTCACAGCATCTCCCACACAGTCATGTCAGCTTCCACACACAGACAACTCTAAACTCATAGCACCACCCAAACACAGACAACTTTGAACTCATAGCACCTCCCACACACAGACAACTTTAAACTCATAGCACCGCCCACACACAGTCATCTATGAACTCACAGCACCTGACACACATACTCTGAACTCAACACCACCCACACAGTAAACTCTGAAATAACAATACATGTCGCAAAGTCACAACAGAGCTCACACACATAGTCAACTTTTAACTCATAGCATCTTTCCAACAATTAACTTTGAATTCTTAGCAATAACCTTGAAATAATAGCACCTCCCACACAGTCAACTTTGAACTCAAGTATCTCCCACACACAGTCAACTCTGAACTCACAGCACCTGCCACATAATATTAATTTTACTCACAGCAGAACCCACAATTAGATACAAGTAAATCTGCTGTTTCAACAACCAGTCATATGTTCTACAACTCTCTTAGCCAAGAGGGAACTCATGATAACTGGCTTACAACTAGCACATCAAAAATATCAATAATTCCACAGCCACCTTAATACCTACAAGACATGTCAACTAGCAAACATTCCTTTCAGCCTGGACTTCTCTTGCTGTTCTTTGGCCTTAACTCTCTTCTCCAAACTGGCCAGCTCTTTCTTCACAGCGCCCTCTAGGCTGGGATCAAGTTCTACAACTCTGGCAAAGTCTGCGTGAGCTTCTTCGACATTCCACACGGCTGCATGAGCTTTGCCTCGTCGAAACAGGGCTTTGATATTGTCTGCAAAGGGAAAAAAAAACAATGTCAGATGTAAACTTTCAGTTTTTGTAATCTAGCCTGCAGTGGATTCCAGGTCACTGTGGCTTGGATGGCAAATAGTGGTCAGACTGGCCAGAAGCAGCAGTGACATGGTGCAACCAAATAGTGACTTAACCCATAAAGAGACTAAGATAATATAAAAAAAGGTGGCTAGATACACATACCAAATTTTCTCTTCAAGACTCACTTCACTGCCTCTCCAGAGAAAGACAATATGTTAAATTCAGACTTAAGACAGGGGACAACAGACTTCGCCAACATATGTTCAAATTATTCGGATGGGAAACAGGGATAGTGTCCCTGCAACATGGTACCAGAAAATGCTGAGCATGTGTTCCAACCTGTTCCACTGAATGCTGCTAACAGAGAAGCAATCTGATGTGTAGCACTGTCCACTGTCATTCTGTATGGGTGCAGAATGTCTTTAATGTCATCAATCCATCTTCTCCTTGGGCACCTTTTTACTTTCTTATCTGACATTTACAAGTGTAGCACTGTCCACTGTCATTCTGTATGGGTGCCGAATGTCTTTAATATCATCAATCCATTTTCTCCTTGGGCACTTTTTCACTTTCTTATCTGACATTTACAAGTGTAGCACTGTCCATTGTCATTCTGTATGGGTGCCGAATGTCTTTAATATCATCAATCCATTTTCTCCTTGGGCACTTTTTCACTTTCTTATCAGACATGCACAAGTGTAGCACTCCTGTGGGTAGTTGTGGCTGCATTCCAATGAGATGACTGAACCATTCGACCTTCTGCTATTTAATGAGTACAGTGCAAGGTCTTGAATCACATAACTTGGCTTGGCTTGTTTTGCTAGGGAAAAAAATTACAAATCATCAGGTTCAACCAGGATTCCCAAAGGGGGAGCTTTCGGTTATAACTGTGACTAGGTTATTTGCACCATATAAAATGGTTTAGCATTGTTTGCCACCAAGTAGCTCTATAAAGAACTCTTGCAGTGTTGATGCGATCAAAGGAGACAGACCCACATACTGTCCCGACCGACGATGAAGTCGTCTACTGGCCAGGCAATGGGTGACCCGGTCATCGATGGGATCAAACAACCACAATAACAATAATCCCTAAAGTACCTGGTTCCCGGTCTAAAACATCCGATGTGTGAGTGATAACCGGGTAGTAGTCCTTAGTGAGCAGTTTGCACTGGGAAAAGTTCAGCAACAGAGGGCGCTTAATGTCATCCAGGGCCATCCATTCGGCTTCTCTGGGTTTTTCTCTGTGAATGGCAAAATAATAGCGGAAATCAACAAGATTAGCACAAGAACAGTTGAGCTGAGTCAAGAATTGACATCACAGCACTCGGGGTATTTCCATGCGTGCTCCGTCCTCAACTTCAGCAGCCAGCGTTGAGTTCCAATACTGATGGTTAGCACAAGAACAGCTCTTAACAAGATTAATGAAACTGCTACTAGTATCATCAGAACACTTTGCTGACTGCTGAAGATGAGGACTGTGTGTGTATGGGAATGCACAAAGCTATAATGTCAGCTCTTGACTCAGTTCAACTCAAAATTAAAACAAGAGCTATAAGCTTTTAACGGGGTCCTAATGGAGCAGAGATGTGCAATACAAGACTCTTAATGTCTATTAGCCTCTCTTGCTCAAGCCTACCTCACCTTCACATGGTGGACCCTGTTCTTCCCAGCAATCCAGTTGAAGGTTGGGGTCTCAACCCCCAGCGGGAAACTGGATGGGACAACAAACGAGGTAAAGGCGAAAGGATGAGCCTACTCTCCTTGTCATGAGATCCTGAAGTCAGAAATACTGGGCCAGAAGGCCGATCAAAAACCACAGTACTATGCAACAATATAATATTTTGTTGTAGCTGTATGCTATACCGCGATCAAAACCTGCGTGGGCTGCGTGGATTTTTATCGTGGTATGGGACGTCGCAGGTCGGCCCAGCCTCAAATGGGTACCAGGATGGGCTGTCCTGGGAAAGTAAAGACGGCTGGCGTAATGCTGACCACATTACCCACCGAGTGCCGATTGGTCTATAAAAATATGGGTGCTCTTCTCATATGCCCGATGCGCCTAAGGGCGTGTAAAGAGATCTTTCCTTTTTTTTTTTTTTTACTATGCAACCCCATGCTATATAAATCGTTACATAAAAACAGTCAAGTTTATCACAAGAACCTGTCTGTCAGTGTAAATCAAAGCGGACACAAGAAGAAGAAGCTTTTAACAAGATGAACACAACATTACAATGACAATAATTATTAGTAACCATGTAATGAGAGGCCTGCAAATGGCTGCAGCAGTGACTAGAAGAGATAAAATCAGGCATGAGGTTACAGGAGAACAAGTCAGCGCAGAACCAATTCTAAAGTACACACAAAAACAGCAAACCAAATGGTTTGCCCACTTAGAGAGAAAACCTTCTGATGCCTTGACATATACACCATCCATTAAAAGAGGAGATGGACGCACAGCACAATGTTGACCAAGAACAAGATGAAACGATAACATCAGAGTAACTCTACAACAGCAAGATGTGTATATGGTCCAGGTAGCCAGAGCAGGAAGAAGCACAGCCGTCTATCCCCCCCCCCCCCCCCAATACCCAAAGTGGAAAAAGAGGAAGTGAGGAGAAGAAGAGGAAGGAAATAATATAGAGTCCAAGCTTGGCTTTTCTTACTCAGGGGGTTTATTTCCCTTTGTTGAGGGATAAGTTTATAATATTCCATAAGTCTTTTTCTTTGCAATCACTGGGGGTAAGCTCTGGCAGAAAGTCCAGACTCTCTGTCCACTTCTGGACTTAAGCCTTTTTCCAGAACTTGAAAGGGTCTTGAGGCATGCTGTCTGCCTCGAGTGCTAAAAGTTGCGGGTTCAATCCCCGGGTAAGGACTGGGATTTTGTCACATGGATTTGGACTTCCAGTAATTCCCCCTGGTCTCTGGGTGGTAAGATCGGACACCTGTGTGCATTGTTGCACACATAAAAAAATTCCTTGGCAGTTGGAAACCGAAAAGAGTAGCCTAATGGCGCTGCTCGGTCAAAATTTGGAGTTAAAAATCTACCCAAAGTATTTCAGGATCCCCGCCGGTGCTACAGAGCCTGTGCTGAACTTCTTCGAACTCAGACTTGAGTTAGAAGAAGAACGAAGCACTTATGGGTTACTACCCGTGTGCCATGATGTTGATCCGTTGTTCAAACCTCAAACCAGAACTTGAGCTTTTCATGCACACCTGTTTTAAAGATACATTTAGTCAAAGGATTCTGTGTATGTTAGTGGCACACTGGGCATATGATGCTAGACTTCATTTTACAGACCAACCAGCATTCAGTGGGTGATGTGATCAACATCATGCCGGCCACGATTACCTCCCAGGATATTACCTAGCACCCTGTAGGCAGAGTCGAACTGGAAACCAGGGTCACATTTTTTTGTTTGTTATTCACCTTGATGCCGATTTGAACCCGAAAACTTTGTGCCAGCAGGCAAGCAACTAGCCACAATGCTACCCCAAATGCCAAGTTTATAAAATAAATAATTTTAACTGATGATCGTTGGGGGACTCAAATTCTCCTGGTCCAAGAAATGTGATTTAAAAAAAAAAAAAACCAGAGCCAGATCACCACCTTCTTCTTCTCAGCATTCACCAGCTGTAAACTCTGGTGGAAAGTCTTAGCTGTGCGTTCACCTCTGGACAAAAAGCCTGATTGCTGAAAATCATCTGAAAGTCTCATTTCATAATCGATTTTCAGGTAACGGCAGGTAAAGTTCAAGGATGCTAGTCCTTTTTCATAAAATTCCAAAGTTTTCCCGGGCCTTGAGAGGGTAGCTTATAGCATAACTAATTTCAGTCCTTTTTAGCATGAAATTTTTCATTATTTGAAGCCATACTCTGGCTCTTGCTGGGGGCTGCAGTATAGCCCGGCCATAAATATGGCCTAATGGCTGAACACGGTTTCTGGGACCTCTCCACGGTGATCCTCATCCACATGGTGGCACATTGTGTCATCAGGTGTTTATCGCTTGTGTGATGTCCTGGTGGGATAGAAAGTCAGTCAGTCAGGGTAGCTTGCCATTTGCAATTTCTGTCCAGTTTCAAGGTCCGCTATGAACCTTGTAGAGATCAACTAACACTCAACGGGTGATGATATGGTAAACATCATACTGGCCTCTTCGATTTCACAAGATTTTTTCTTTTCTTTAATTTTAAGCTGACCTGGGAGGAAAAGGCTGTAATAAAAACTGACCACTGTGCAGATTCAAATCCAACACCTTTGGGCCGTTAGACATAATGGACATTAAAAAAAAAAAACCAACACTTACAATATAAGAAAGGAAAAGGTTATAAATACCAGCATTAGAGAGAAAATTGGAATAAGACAGTGGCTGAATTACACTGACAGATAAAGAATGAAATGGTTCCACCATCTAGTGAGAATGCAGCCAGACTAAACAGCACATAAGACTTTTTTTTTTACAGCAGAACATCTGGGAGGAAGACGAGCAGAAGACTAAGAAAGAGATGGATAAATGGTGTAGGTGAAACTTGCAAAAAAAAGATGAGCAAATCCATTACCCAAGCCATCTGAGAAGTGTAAGATAAATACAGAAAACCAAGGTACTGGGCTACAACCTGGCTAACAATGAGATGGCAAAAGAAGAAATAAGGTAAAAATAAAAACATGAACACAGAAGCTTTACAACTCACTGTAACATCAAGTCCTCCAACATCCCCAGTGCCTGAGCATATTTCAGGGCAGCTTCCTCATAATCCTTCCTGGCATACGCTTGGTTCCCTGCCTCCCTCAGCTTGGGTATATTCTCCAGCTTCTCGTCCTTGTTCATGGTCCAGCTCTCTTGCTCAAACTGCTCCGGCAGCTCCAGTTTTAAGAGCTCTAAATAAACACAGCAAAAAAAATTTCTCAACTTAACCCCTGACCTGTTAGGGTCGTGGAGGTGCATCGATGGAAATACTAGCACAAGAAACTGGCCATCTTTCCCTGTCTTCTGCTTGTTGAACCAAGTGCATAATCATAATTCAATCCTGTCCATTTCTTGATGTCGTTCTTTCAGTTTCTTCTTTGTCTTCCTCTTCTTTGTCTTCCTCTTCTTTGTCCTCCTCTTCTTCAACTAACCCCCCAATGTTCCTTGAGGTATAGTCTTTCCAAATCGAATCATGTCTCACCTCATCTCACTTCTTAGAAGCAGATACTGAAATTACTTGGATGGGGATATTGTAATCTAATTAACACAGCAAATATAATTACTTATATGAGGATATCATAGTCTTATAAATATAATAATTATCCCCCTGTGTGTGTTCCGGGGCCCCATTGTGGGGAAAACAAGAATAGACCCACTGCCTCCCCAAAAGCATGTCGTAAGAGTCGACTAATTGGGGAGCTTCCTTTGAAGTCGGAGTGCATCTGCCGGACAGGCAAGGAACCAACAGTCTGTATTCAAGAGAATGAGATCTGTACAACTGATGCACACGCAACACTCAGGTTCTGGAGCAGGACTGCAGTTCATTAGTGGACGAGCAACCAGAACTTTCCGCCAGAGTGTACAGCTGGTGAACGCGAAGAAGAAGAAGATAATAATTATAACACATTTATTATAAATAAATACTTGGGGATACAAAGTTCTTATTTAAAAAAAATAACTGCCTGGGGATACACAGTTCTTATAAACAAAATAAATAATTACCTGGGGATATATAGGTACTTTAACCATTTAAAAAATAATTACTTAGATGGGGGTTATACAGGTCCGTTAAACAATAACAAGAAATTACTTAGGTGGAGGTACACAGGTCTTACAAACAATAAAAATTATTATTTGTGGATAAATATAACAATACACACAGTTCCTTTCCGATGTATAGGTCCTATAAACAATAATAATAATTACTAAGGATATTTAGCCCCAACAATACCTAAAGAAAAAAAAATTACTTAGATGGAAATACAGGTAATTAAGGATGTTTGATACAGGATAGAAAGGAATGCACAGGACAAAATGGAATGGAAGAATCCACTGTGAGACCTATATGATGTATAAACACTAAACAGGATAATGATAATGATGATTGTCAGAGTGAAAACAGAATGATGACGATGAATGTCAGAGTGAAAACAGGATAATGTTGATGATGAATGTCAGAGTGAAAACAGGATAATGATGATGATGAATGTCAGAGTGAAAACAGGATAATTATGATGATGAATGTCAGAGTGAAAACAGGATAATGATAATGATGATTGTCAGAGTGAAAACAGAATGATGACGATGAATGTCAGAGTGAAAACAGGATAATGTTGATGATGAATGTCAGAGTGAAAACAGGATAATGATGATGATGAATGTCAGAGTGAAAACAGGATAATTATGATGATGAATGTCAGAGTGAAAACAGGATATAATTATGATGATGAATGTCAGAGTGAAAACAGGATAATGATAATGATGATTGTCAGAGTGAAAACAGAATGATGACGATGAATGTCAGAGTGAAAACAGGATAATGATGACGATGAATGTCAGAGTGAAAACAGGATATAATTATGATGATGAATGTCAGAGTGAAAACAGGATAATGATAATGATGATTGTCAGAGTGAAAACAGAATGATGACGATGAATGTCAGAGTGAAAAAGGATAATGTTGATGATGAATGTCAGAGTGAAAACAGGATAATGATGATGATGAATGTCAGAGTGAAAACAGGATAATTATGATGATAACTGTCAGAGTGAAAACAGGATAATTATGATGATAACTGTCAGAGTGAAAACTGAATAATAATGATGATAACTGTCAGAGTTAAAACTGGATAATGATGGTGATGATAGTCAGTGAAAAACTGGGCTTACCGAGACAAAAAATCAGAGGCTTTGGTTCTTTCATGAGATCATTCAGATCCGGGTAGCCAGTCCCGTCAGCCATGGCCATCATTCCACAGCAGTGGGAAGTAGCGTGGTGGTCAGTCTTTCCCTTGAAGATGTCCCTCAAACTTTTAGCCACTAGTGGATACACGGCTGTATGCTGGAAGGACACATTAACTCTTTTAGTACATGCCGACTTACCATGTTGAAGAGCTAATAGTGGATACACGGCTGTATGCTGGAAGGACACATTAACTCTTTTAGTACATGCCGACTTACCATGTTGAAGAGCTACTAGTGGATACACGGCTGTATGCTGGAAGGACACATTAACTCTTTTAGTACATGCCGACTTACCATGTTGAAGAGCCACTAGTGGATACACGGCTGTATGCTGGAAGGACGAGGACAGATTAAACTCTTTTAGTACATGCCGACTTACCATGTTGAAGAGCCACTAGTGGATACACGGCTGTATGCTGGAAGGACGAGGACAGATTTACTCTTTTAGTACATGCCGACTTACCATGTTGAAGAGCCACTAGTGGATACACGGCTGTATGCTGGAAGGACGTGGACAGATTTACTCTTTTAGTACATGCCGACTTACCATGTTGAAGAGCTACTAGTGGATACACGGCTGTATGCTGGAAGGACACATTAACTCTTTTAGTACATGCCGACTTACCATGTTGAAGAGCTACTAGTGGATACACGGCTGTATGCTGGAAGGATATGGACAGATTAAACTCTTTTAGTACATGCCGACTTACCATGTTGAAGAGCTACTAGTGGATACACAGCTGTATGCTGGAAGGATATGGACAGATTAACACTTTTAGTACATGCCGACTTACCATGTTGAAGAGCTACTAGTGGATACACAGCTGTATGCTGGAAGGATATGGACAGATTAACACTTTTAGTACATGCCGACTTACCATGTTGAAGAGCCACTAGTGGATACACAGCTGTATGCTGGAAGGATATGGACAGATTAACACTTTTAGTACATGCCGACTTACCATGTTGAAGAGCTACTAGTGGATACACAGCTGTATGCTGGAAGGACACATTAACTCTTTTAGTACATGCCGACTTACCATGTTGAAGAGCTACTAGTGGATACACGGCTGTATGCTGGAAGGATATGGACAGATTAACACTTTTAGTATATGCCGACTTACCATGTTGAAGAGCTACTAGTGGATACACGGCTGTATGCTGGAAGGATATGGACAGATTAACAATTTTAGTACATGCCGACTTACCATGTTGAAGAGCTACTAGTGGATACACAGCTGTATGCTGGAAGGATATGGACAGATTAACACTTTTAGTACATGCCGACTTACCATGTTGAAGAGCTACTAGTGGATACACAGCTGTATGCTGGAAGGATATGGACAGATTAACACTTTTAGTACATGCCGACTTACCATGTTGAAGAGCCACTAGTGGATACACAGCTGTATGCTGGAAGGATATGGACAGATTAACACTTTTAGTACATGCCGACTTACCATGTTGAAGAGCTACTAGTGGATACACAGCTGTATGCTGGAAGGACACATTAACTCTTTTAGTACATGCCGACTTACCATGTTGAAGAGCTACTAGTGGATACACGGCTGTATGCTGGAAGGATATGGACAGATTAACACTTTTAGTACATGCCGACTTACCATGTTGAAGAGCTACTAGTGGATACACGGCTGTATGCTGGAAGGATATGGACAGATTAACACTTTTAGTACATGCCGACTTACCATGTTGAAGAGCTACTAGTGGATACACAGCTGTATGCTGGAAGGATATGGACAGATTAACACTTTTAGTACATGCCGACTTACCATGTTGAAGAGCTACTAGTGGATACACAGCTGTATGCTGGAAGGATATGGACAGATTAACACTTTTAGTACATGCCGACTTACCATGTTGAAGAGCCACTAGTGGATACACAGCTGTATGCTGGAAGGATATGGACAGATTAACACTTTTAGTACATGCCGACTTACCATGTTGAAGAGCCACTAGTGGATACACAGCTGTATGCTGGAAGGATATGGACAGATTAACACTTTTAGTACATGCCGACTTACCATGTTGAAGAGCTACTAGTGGATACACAGCTGTATGCTGGAAGGATATGGACAGATTAACACTTTTAGTACATGCCGACTTACCATGTTGAAGAGCTACTAGTGGATACACAGCTGTATGCTGGAAGGACGTGGACAGATTTACTCTTTTAGTACATGCCGACTTACCATGACAGTCAAAGTAAAATAAAATAAAATGTATAAATATAATATTAAATCATGAGTGTAATGAATGGGTTTGTACTTCACTACTCGTTGTCTAGGCGGTGTTCATGCGTGTGTGGTGGATGATATTCTGACACGCATCACGTTACACACCTGGCACAAGCCGACACCGATGTGAGCTTACGAGACATTACTTTATTGACGTATTACAACTTACGACAAACAGAATCGTCCAGTCGATGTCTAATTGAACCGCTTTCGTACACAAACTCACGCAGCCTTTTTACGAATAGTCTTCTGCAGGCATTCAAGCAACGATGGGTCCCATGGATTCAACACTGACGTTTGGACATCTCACACGCTGGCATGGTTGATCTCAGCTTAACATTTCGTCGGCAGGTCTCCTTTCTCCTCAGGCACTCACGTAGACATTCGTACATTCAATCGCTCGTCCTCTCGCTCCAACAGGTCGACACAAACTAAACTTGACCAGAGTCAAGTCTGACTTATACCAGGGGTTCCTTTCACGTGACAACACGTGGTGGTCCTTTACTTTTCCCGTGGCGACCTTGGGTCGCATCACCGTGGTCCCCGTGATAACTAGTGGTTAGTCACCTATCTCCAGATTCTCGTTTAATCCAAGTATTTGGACTATCACAGTGTTTTTGGTCAGCTTTGGGCTTTCCCCCCAACCATCCTAAACTGAGTGGAAAATATCCCCCATTACATTCTCCCTTCCCCGTATAAAAAAAAAGTTTACTTTTTTTTTTCATTATCGTTAATGGATAGGAGTATATATTATGTAATGTTTGGGTATTTTCACTGGTATCATGGGTAAAAAATTTATTCCACCCCTTTTGGGTAATTCATGTTTTTCCTTTGGAACTTTGTCAGTTGTCATGCCCAGTGAGTATTATGTGGCGTAATGGAATCAACACCCCAGGCAATACTCTTTCAATTGCGGAAGACCATAAAGGCTCTACGCGTTTCCCACCTCATCCCACAGTCTGTCAAACGACAGAAAATCACCCCAGGCACTACTCTTCCAAGTGCGGAAATCCATAACGGCTATGGAACAATAATGTAAACCCGTAAAGTCCCACCCTTGCCACTATACTCACCGAACATCCACTGATGTTATTTCCATTGGATATTCATTTATTTCCCCTTATAGGTGATATGGATTTTATCTCCCCTACCTATAGTGATTTCCCACCAGTCTATTACATTTCTAATAATTATCTCCCTTTACGTTTTCAAAAATATTACAATGTATCACTTAAATTTCCTGTATACATTTCAATTGTAGAGTGATGTTATATATTCAAAACATTAAATAGCATATTTCATTGTCACAACTTTGCATTTTCAATTTTGAAATATTGTTTACATTTTGTATTTAATAAATATCCATATCTAATTCTAACTATTTCGTCACGTCACCTTATGTCTTATGTCCCGTATTTGTCACAATGACATGATATATATACAATTTATACAAAATATATATACATACATATAAAAATCATGTGTCGATCAACAATAACATTTCAGATAATCACAACATACATACTATAATAAGACCTACAATCTTGACATTACATCAGGCAGGTGATTATGGATGCCTTTGATGTGCTGTATTTTAAATTTAAACTGTGCAATCAATAAAGCCCATCTGTACACTCTAGCGTTGTTTGTTGACTCCATGGTCATCAATTTAGTAAGACCTAAATTGTCAGTTAAGATAGTGAATTCTTTTCCCTAATAAATATTTTTGAAATTTCTTCAGACTCAGAACTAATGCTAATGCTTCTTTCTCAAATGTGCTGTACTTCTGCTGTGTAGATGTTAGTTTTTGTGACCAATATAAAACTGGAAGAAGAGTGTCTGTTTCTTTCTGTGCTAACATTGCAGCTATGGTGTGTCCACTAGCATCTGTCTGTAGAAAAAAAATGTTTACTTGGATCTGGCTGTCTCAAGATTGGTGGTGTTGAAAACAAATGTTTAATTTTTTCTAAAATTGTGTCATGAGTTTCATTCCAATCTTTTTTCCTAAATTGTTCTGTTTTCAACAGTTCCGACAATGGTGCAGTTAAAGCTGCCAAATTACTAATAAACTTGCCATAATAGTTTATTAACCCCAACAATGATTGTAATTGTTTTCTAGTCTTAGGTTTTTCAATATTCAGAATTTTAGACACAATGTTATGATCAGTTAGGATTTTTCCTTCGCAAACAACATGACCTAAAAAGTTTATTTTCATAAAACAAAACTCAGATTTCAATGGGTTCACTGTCAGGTTTGCTTCCTGAATTTTTACAAACACTTTTTCCAATGTTACCAGATGTTCAGGTATATCTTTCGTGTGGATGCAGATGTCATCCATGTAGGCGATCACGTTTTCCATATCCCCCAAATGTTTTCGAATCATTTTGGTGAAAATTTTCGGGGCATTTAATAATCCAAAAGGAACTCTCAACCATTGTTTTAACCCCAAAGGTGTTTGGAAGCTGGAGTACTTACTGGCATTTGGAGTCATGGGGATTTGCCAATATCCCTTACACAAATCTAATTTTGTAAAAAATTTTGAATCATGTAACTGTTGAATGGTATCGTCAGTTGATGGTATAGGTTCTTCTTCAAGATAGGTAACCTCGTTCAACTTCCTATAATCGACACACAGTCGTAAGTTACCGTCTTTCTTTTTGACTATCACCATGGGTGAACTATATTCAGAGTTTGAATCAGTAATTATACCATCTTCTTGGAGTTGTTTTAACTCTTCAACAACTTTATCCATATAATGGATTGGTATGGTATAATTTCTTGACTTGACAGGAACAGCTGAGTTCAACTGGATGTCGTACTCTATCAAATTAGTTTTCCCAG